GATAGGAAAGAAGGTAGAAGGTTGTGGCTGAGAAAACAATTGAGTTACTAGAGTGAGGTGAAGAGATAAGCCAGCAAAGAAGGACAAGCTGTGAAGTGCATTTGCCAGATTCTCGGTTCTGCCCCATAATCTAACTCTTGGTTTGCAGCTATTGCACAATCAAATTTCCTAATCCCTCCATGCATTTATGAAGACTGTTAAATACCATGGTCTATTTTATGAGTGTTCTACTCTAACCAATGGAGCTAACTGGCCAAGTGCTCTAATGGGCTATTTTAAAATAAAAAAAATTTTGTTTTCCAAACGACTCTTCCCCTACGTGTCTTTCATTTTTGTCTTGCACTTGTGCCTCTGCATTTCAAATACACTTTGGGCATTTTTTTTTCTGCTATTTTTAATCTGCTGGGCATTCTGGACATTCCTGGTATTTATAGTTGACTAATTTATTTCCTCATATAATCTCACCAAAGTTGTGGTATGCAGCATATATTTCGAATCCTGAAACCACCCACCTAGAAATTACTTAACAGGTGACATCCATATTAGTAACTTCATCTTTGGATGAGGTTAAATATAGTATTGAATAAGCTCCTACAAATTTAGCTCTGTTTTTTTTTTTTCCAGGATGAATTTAGTCTTAAGTTTATTAAAGAAAGATAGCAATAGATAACAGTTGAAACAATAAATATGAATTGGAACCTCTCAAAAATCATGCTAATAAACTGCTGTAAAGACAAGTTCATATTGTCTTAAATATCTGCTCTTTAGTCAATGGTATTTGAAAGAATTATTGTTGAATTGTACATTATAAAATACTATATCAATTTTTCTTTATATTGTAAGGTAACCATTACAGAATGACATGGAAAAGAGCACATTGATATTATCTAATAATCTAAAATCATCATCATGTTTATTTGAATTTCTTTAATTTCTATGTAATCCACTAACAAATACCGCTTCATGCAATCATATTCCCTTATGACATGACATAAAGGAAAATGTATTCCCATTGTTTTCCAACATTAAATCTTCCACCCAGACTTCAAATTTCCTCCTCCGCCACTTCCCTGAGGATCTGGCATTTCCCTGGAATCTCCCTCCTCTCTCCTTACCGCTTCCTCCTCCCTACTTCCCCCTTGCAAAAACTCCCCTCACCCTGCCTTCCTCTGAAACCATGTTTTCCCTTCAACAGGAAAATCCTAGAAAAATATTAAAGACTCAGTGGCTATCTGCCCCTCTCAGCCACCCTTGAACACGTGATCACTCTTACAGAAGATGTTTACTTGAAGGTCATTAATGCCTGTCTAATCACTAGAACTAATTTTTCATCTTTGGTATACCAACCTATTTTTTAAGTAGCCCTGGACAGCATTCATCACATTCCCTCATTTTACTTTTCCCTGTCCCGCTAGGCTAATCCAAGTATGCATTATAGCTTAAGCTACCATAGCGACCCTAAGGATTAACAATCCACATCTGTTGAGTGACCCTCTCAATGATGGGCTCACTTTCTGACCACTCTTATCACCCGTTTCGGACTCCTACGCCTCTCCTTATCACATACATGCTGGCATACCCCAACATGAGCACTTCAGCTTTTTTCCTGTCTGACTTCACACAGATCTCCTAGAGATCTCACCCTTGTCTACTTCAATCCGTGCCTACACACTAGGTATATTCTAACCAATATCTTACTTCTCACCTTTAGGAAACACATGCCTAATTGCCTCCAATCACCTCCACTTGACGTTCCAACGGATACATCAAATTATATTAGCAAAAATCCAAATTTGTCATCTCCCCCCATTCACCTTTTAACCTGTTTTCTCCCTCCATAATAACCATCTTATTTAATGGTAACTATTTACTCATTCAGGTCAAAAAATCGGGGAGTACTGCATAGTCCCTACATTTTTCATCTCCCACACCCAACTGAAAGTCAACACTTAAGGATTCTACAATTCTCAGAAAGCACCTGGGGTGATCTTTTTAAATATTTACATCAGATCATAACATGGTCTAGCTTTAAAAGTCTTTCAAAGGCTCCTCAATCAACAGAGTAAAACAGTGGGCCTTCCTTTGGTTCCACATAATTAAGCTTCCATCTTCCCCTCTGAACACCTCTCACTGGGCTCAGATCACAGGGTCTTCTGTTTCGGAAACACGCCAAGCTCACTCCCTCCACATTCCTTTGGTTCTTCCCGATGTAACACTGTCGTTATTATTTATTTGAATATTTGTTTCTGATTCTCAAGTGTCCCTATCCCTGGGACCTTATGTGCTCAGTTAATCTTACCCAAATATGAACATCTGGCTGTTATTCATCAGTTTCCTGTAGATTCACACAAGAGAATGTCTATTCTTAAAGGCTTAAAATAATCCAGTAAAGGTCTCCCTTGTGGCTCAGCTGGTAAAGAATCTGCCTGCAATGTGGGGGACCTGGATTCGATCCCTGGGTTGGGAAGATCTTCTGGAGAAGGGAAAGGCTACCCATTTCAGTATTCTGGCCTGGAGAATTCCATGGACTGTATAGTCCGTGGGGTTGCAAAGAGTCAGACATGACTGAGCAACTAACTGCTAAAAAAAAGGTTATCAAGTTTAAAATTAAAAAACAAACAAACACTTTGTAACTAGAAATAGTAGCAGACCTAGTTGTACCTTACCTTTTGTTATCAAACCTGAATGCCAACCCAAAGGCCATGAACAATCCTTTATACATATATATAAAGAATTGGACAAGTAGTTCTGTGAGTAACGACAGTGCTCACTGTTACTAATGCAGCATTGCTTGGCTATTACACAAAAAAAGAAGCAGGCCACATCCTGTTTGGGATAGATATATGAACTTTATAAACTTAGTCATGCTATCATAATTCTATTTCCTCTACTTTCTTATCTCAGATTAAAATCTGGAATTTTATTCATTAGTAACATGTTACCAATGCCAATTTTTAAGGACAGAGGCAAAAATGATTCAACCAAAAAAGTTACATTTGTGTCACATGTATTCATGTGAATCACCACAGGGAAGCCATGGCAATTTCAGATTAAAAATTCAACCACAAAAAAAAACAACAAAAAATGAGGTTGCAAGTCACTGTTACTCATAATTCAGTGTCATTCTGACTAAGACTTTTGGCTGGAAAAAAGCACCTATTTTATAACATATGCATTTCTCAGGTTTTGATTTTTCTGTTTTTTTTTTTTTCATCAGAAGCAGAAATATCAACATAACATGTATACTAGATGTTATATGACATTTGAGGGCTAAATGAGCAGAAAGCAATAAAATTAAGAGAATCTTATGAGATATTTTCATATTTTTCAGAATCTCAGACACAGATGTTTCAGATGAATATCCAAGGACTGCAGCATCTCTGTCTATAGTTATGAGCTTTGGAGGTTTGTTTATTATCTATCATGAAGCAACAGCTTGGCTATTCATTGAATTGTTATCAGAATCAAGTTGGAATGACAGCAGTGAAGGTAAGAATTTTAGTATCCAACATCTCTTGATGATTGAAATAAGGGAAGTAAAACCAATAGTGTTGGGGTTGAGAAACATAACATGTGATATTCAGGGACTATAGTGCTTTTAAATAAGAAACCTTAAAAATTTTTAACAGGTATTAATTAGTGAATGTGCCCTTTATAAAGTTTGTAGCAGTACTATTCTGCATTTCCATAACAAGTTAGGTCGTAAAGAATGTCCATAGTTATATGTTATTATCATATTGTAATTAGGGCTCATTTTACAGATGAGAAAGCAGAGGCTCAGAGAAGTTACATGTCTTTACCAACTTTAAGGAGCTTTCACTGCAGGAGGGCCCGAAGGTATTATAATTGCTTCCAGGAAAACTTCAGGAAACAACCATAACTAATTTTTATAGAGTCATCTCTGTGCCCAGAGTGATTAGATCAGGAACCTTCCCTAAAACTAAAGTGTTTTACAGAGAATCTTTCTTTATAGTGATTTTTTTCACAACAGCGACAGAGAGTTCATGACACTGTAATAGGTCCTTAGAGGGCTTAAACACACACACACACACCAGACACGCTAGTTAATCACTCTTTAAATTATTTTTTATTATTTTGGATTTCAGTTTTCCAACATTACCTATATCAGGTCAGCAGGCCAAAAAGTTTATCATTTCTTTTCATTCTCCCTATTGCTGTCAATCAACTACTTATTATTTTTATTTTAAATGTCTATTCTATGCTAGAAAGAGTTTTGGAGAAACCTCATCTTCTGAATTTTGGCTGTCACTCCTAATTATATCTACTGATATAACTTCAGCTAAGGCATTTTGGTGTCAGTTTGTCCTATAAAATTAAGTTGTGGTTATTTAATTAATAAAGGGGTGGGCTTCTATCTCAGCAGTTTATCAATCTATTGTTTTATTACGAAATTCTACCCTTTACCAACTGGTAAAGATAAGAGAGGGCTGGGGGAGATATAGACCTAGATCGGCGACTTTCTGGAAAAGGCTATGAATCATATCCCCTAGTTAGTCCCTGCTAAGCAAAACCAGCAGCCTGCCTTTAGAGAGTCATTTCCAAAAGTGCTGAAGAGTCCATATGTTTATACTGGACTTTGTTATGAGCAAAGAAAATACTCTTTATATATTTTTAAAATGCACATGACAAACTTTTGTTCTTCAAATCAGTTGTTCAGACAAAAAGGCTCCACTTAAAACTGGAAATGGGATTTCCTACCACCAGTGAAATTATTCAGACATCAGAACACAAAAAAATGTCAAGGATCTGATAAAACACCTGGAGACTTTTTTCAAAAGTCATACATATTCAAACATACTGATGCTATCACTTTTTCCTAAATTGCACCCAAAGAAAATATACATACATGATAGAATACAGTCAAATGGTTTCTTGAATAAGTAGGAACATATGCAAAAGAAATTCCTAGTCCATTTATAAATGCAGTTAACTCTGGAAGTGAAGACAGGCATTATATTTAGAATAAACATGATTCTTACCATCTGAGATTGACTCCTAGGACATCCATTGATATCTTCAACTTTTTCATTTGCTAAAGCCAAGAAATAAAATAAAAGAGAGAAAAAAAGAACAACATGCTTAAGCCATGAAGTGAAACACACAGGAGACTAAGGGAAAAAAAAGGAAAAAAAAGAAGCAAAACGCTGCTGCTACATTCACTGTGTCTCCTAAGCTGTGTATAGGAGGACATACTTGTTAGCAGCCGCCAAGTCCATATGCAGAAACCAGGCAAAAAAAAAAAAAAGTGACTGAGAAGGAAGTTGCTGCTAATTCCTCAGCTTGTGCCAAATGACTGCTGACATGAAACCTTTCACAATTGTCCCTGCTGGATCAGGATACAGTTTCAAGGAATCTCAGAGTGTATGAGTTGCTCCAGCTAGCAGGAAGCACACATGGGAGACATATGGTTTAATGAAGCGTTCATTTCTGACAATTCAGTGTATGCAAAGATACAGCTCTAGCCATGTACAAGTATGGCCAAACTGCCTTCTTCAAACATTCTCACATAAACATTTTAATTAAATCACAGGGAGAGCTACATTAATCTCCCAGACACATGGACAAAGTTTCTAAGCATTCGACTTAAATTTTATTTTACCCAAAGTAGGTGGGGGCAGAGACTTTCAAGTTTTGTTTTGTTTTGTTTTTCCAGAGGGTAGGTCTTACCAATGATCTGGATGATTTCTGCTAGCAGTACTCCATCTGCAATGTCTTGTTGCAAATCCTTGATCAGCCGCTTGTGGCCCGATTTTGCAAGGTAGTGGTTGGCCCAGTCTGTGTAAATCTGTTGAACAGAGGGAGGGAAGAAGTGAGATGAGATGAGGGAAAAGAGAGGCAATAAAAATGCTTCAGGCAAATGTTGGATACAAAGGGATGTTATTCTGGATCACATTCCAGCTTAAGAAGTCATAGCTCAAAAGGAAATAGTTGTAAAATAATTTTTTAATTCACTCTTTTTCAAAACTAGGGACTAGTCACTTGTGACAGAGCAAAACTCCCTTCCTGGATGACTAGTGAGGAAGCTCCTGTTTGCAAATCAGTTTCAGTTTTTACTCTCTTGCCTCTGGTTCCCTCATACTGAAAATAATCCTGTCTGTCCTTGTAAAAGGAAGCCACCTGGATTGACTTATATAGGAATATCACTATAAAAATGTGTGTTTCTCTGAGCAGACTTTATTAAATCTGTCATGTGAGTTACTGCATGTGATAATATTTTGGCATCATTTTATAAAATAATTGCAGATGCCTAAGTTATTTTATTTGAATTGTCAAATCCCATTTCAGCTTCTCATAATGTGTTTTTATAAGAGAACAGAGGAAGTATATGTACCTATTATATAGAAATTGAATATAATATAGAATTGAGGTATATTATGAACTCTAAGCTTGGCTATCTACATAAAGTAGAGGTGTCTCTCCAATAACAGGTTATGATAGAGGAAAAAATTGAAATTGTTCAAAAACTTCACAAAAATAAAATATTACTAATTTTTCAAGTGTTACAGGCACTTACTGATGTAATATAATCTAATTATAATGATAAAATTTCAATTCCATGAGAGGCTTACATGGACATATTAGTACACTTATTACAAGGCAGACCATAACATTTATGTGATAGAAGAATGTAAACTTGAAATAAGAATAGAGGAGGACAAATAACTGAGAAATATAAAAATGCATTATAGAAGCAGCACTAGAATTAGAACTGGCAACATAACAGAACCTGAAAATAGGAAGTGAAGGGAAGGGCTTTCCCCCAGAGGGTACAAGATACAGAGAGGCGAAGGAACACAGGAATCAAGGGCACAGTTGAAAATCATGTAATTAAGGTAGGATGCCTGAAATTAGGACAAAGCAGACTGGAAAGGTAAGTTGTGACTTGTGGTCATGAGCATTGAGACCCAAGCAAAATGCAAAAAAAGAAAAAAATTTTAACAAAATTAATACATGTTTTTTATAAAAATAAAGTAAAAAAGAAGTGTAAAAACCAGACAAATAAAAGTTTCCCACAACTTGCAACCCCACCCACTTTTGAATAACTTGATATAAATAGTTCTAGAGCTTTTTCTACACCTACACACTTCACCACACGACATCATATTACACACCATATACACACACTCATGACAGAATGCGTAACCAAATCTAGCTCAATTTTACCTATCACTCTGCATTTTCAGCTTTTTATGTAACAATATTTTAATAATACTTCCAAAACCATTTTACAAAAATTTATCACTATTTTTGATGTTATATTATACATAGCATCAATCCCCCCTAGTGAAAGGTACTTATTTTGTTTAAAAATGTTTCTATTACTTCTAAATTTGTAAGAGACATCTTATATATGTGTCTTGGCACATACCTATACTAGTATTTTTTACAGGACCAAAAGCTAAAAACGGGGCTGCCAAGTGTTTCTTAATGGATCCTAGGTACAAACATTTCAAAATATAACACAAAAGAAAAAGAGTGTTTCTTTATTTTAGAAAACATAAGGTGGCATCTTAGTGCATATGTACTGGTAGAATGTGTTCTGAAAGATATCAATAATTTGAGGTATAGTCTACTGCGTTAAGAAAAACATATATGATGGCAACACTACATCTTCTGTCTTCACATTCATTATCTTCTTTATACTAAAGATTATTAAAGTGCAAGAAAAATCACTTGCACAACTGTCTCCTTGATTAGAAAACAAGCCTAATTTCTAGATTGACATTTTTATTTGTTTATCATCTTCCTTAATTAAGATTTTATTTTATTTGTGTTATGGCAAAATTTTAATTTTATAAGATTTGCACTGTTCATAATCTTAAAAAATTGAGCACTTTCCCTTCACCTACACATCAGTCGAACGATAGCATTAATAATTTGGTGCCTAGTAGAAAGTTCAATGTGAGCCAGACTTTATTTGTGCCTATCCCCGAGGCAGTGAGTAATTTATAAGGACCAGTTAACTGACTTTAAAGGATCCACAATGATGAAGAATATGAGTTCTGGGTCAAACACACATGGCTTGGAGGCCCAGCAGACTACTCGCTACCCCCTGGGACCTTGAACAAATTACTTATATCTTCTAAACCTGATTCCTCATCTGCAAAATAAGGATGATGCAATACTTATAGTATTATGTCAGGACTAATAAGATTGAACTTGTAAAGGGCCTGTCACAGAGTTAATCCTGAAAAAAGGCCTATTATTATTATTTTATGGCATCTAAATGTTATTTGCTACGGTGGCTTTCCAACAAATATTTGTTGATGTTATCATTGCGCAAAGGTTAAAAAATGTGGAAGTATTGGCAGCCGAAGATGGGAGAAACTGTATTCCTTGCTTTCTTACACTAGTCACATCTCTGACTCCTGCTATCTAATTCACTGAGGCCACAGATCTGTCCCTCATCCAAACTCTGAGGAATGTGTCCACTTTTGAGGCTGCACTGTTATCCAGGCCTGCAGTGAATGCCTCCATCGTTACACCACCTCTGACAAAGCTCATACTACATGGATGCTTTTTTTCTTTTAAATGAAGGCATTAAATTGCAGAGATAGTGCTTATTTAATATTTATTTAAATATATACAAAACAGAATGCGTTAAAAGTAAAAACAATATTACTTTTATTCTCCAAATGCACGCTAACAGTGCCTTATCCTCTATCCAAAGCCCTCTGGGACTTAGGTGAGAAAACAGATGGGAAGCCAGCTGGTTGGCTTCAAGACCTTGTTGAGAAAGCCTCTCACTGAGCTCAAGAAACATTTTTTCACTTGGTCCAGGATTTCTTCTAGAGGAATCCCAAGCCCAAGTGCTTTGACTTGTCCAGCATCTCCAACATGTGAAATTTTGCTCAGACAATAACTCTGACTTAGATGCAATCAGAAAAATATATTCAGATTAAATAAATGAACTTAAAAATTAGTTCCTATGTATTTTACTTAGTCCTTCTTATAGTCCTTCTACTGTGTAGAAGATTTGATTAAAATAAATCAGTGTTTTCCAAAAGGTTATAATATAGATGATGAAATATAAAACAATTACCTAGAAACTTTTATACATTTTAAATTTCAAATATAAGCTTATAGTTTCATATCTTTAATAAATTAAAACTTAAATTAAAAGAGTGGAAATAGGAAGTGTGTCTTTACGAAGACAATCTTCAAGTAAAGAACACATGGTATATAAATGTGTTTAAAAATCATCAATAAAGTTACTGTAATAATCTGATGAGAGCAGATATAAACAACCTTGTCAACCATCATTAAAATCTGTTGTTCAAATAAATACAGAATTTATTTGAACAGAATGGTGAATTCAGAATGGTGAAATCATGACCAGATTTTTGGATCCGAGCTCCAAAGTTGCCCTTGGTTAATTACAGAATGGTGAATTCAGAATGGTGAAATCATGACCAGATTTTTGGATCCGAGCTCCAAAGTTGCCCTTGGTTAATTTCCACTAAAATAATCACATCATTTAACCTTTTAACCTCAGCTGAATGAGCAAAATGTATGGTAACATATTTTGTAGAATTGAATTAGAAGGGTTTTTTATGTGTGTGAAGAAACCTATATAATTGAAAATAACATCAAATTACTCATAAATCAATATTTTGTATTTTCTATAGCAGGATCACTGAGTATTTAAGTCATCAAGGTTCTTACCAAAACTTTAAATAGCATTTACCCGTAAGCATCTTAAGCCAACTTTCCTCAATCATTTTAACTGCAATGTTATGAGTATAAATGTTATCTCATGTAGTAATTATATTTCAGTTAATTCAGAAGAATTAATGAGATTACACTTACCAAAGTGCTACTTAGAAACTCTAGCATATTTGTATGTCCAATTTTTCATTCACAGTAATTTAAAATAACAGAATGAATTGCACCATGGCATATTTTATACTTCATATTTATCAGCATGTGTTTTAGGGCCTGTACACAACAGCAGGTATTCTTTAAGGAACAATCTATAGGGTTGAAATTCCTGCTCTGCCATTTAATATCCATGTGGATACTGAATGAACATTTATTTCCTCTCAGCATCAGATTTTTCTCACCTATAAGCTGGTAATAGTAGTATTATCTACTAATGGAATTATTGTGAGGATTGAATACATTTATACTCTTGGAACATGGCCTTTCACTTACTAAATATGTGTTAAGTGTCAAATAGTGTTAGTAGTTCATGTTTCAATATAAAATATGTTAATTGTAATTATTTTATTAACATAATTCATCAGTATCACTGTCAAATCCTTAAATATTAGCTGTCTACCCAAATGTAGATAACCTAACTAATGAAGGAAAATTGCTGCAAGTTATTATGATCTCTTAAGTATTGATCCTATCATTTTTCTTTTACAGTGCTCACTTCAGCAGCACATACACTAAAATATTTCTTTCACAATGCTTGTTTTTAATTTACAAAATAATAGGGTCAGAGAGAAGGCAATATTCCTGATTTCAAGCCATACTATAAAGCTATGGTCATCAAAACAATATGATAGTAGCATAAAAACCAATAAATAGACCAATGGAACTAAACTGAAAACCTAAAAATAACCCAAGCATATACATTCAAGTAACATTTGATAAAAGGTCTAAGAACACTCAACAAGAAAAGGCAGTTAATGCAGTAAATGGTGCTGAGATAATTAGATATTCACATGTGAAAGAATGAAACTGCACCCATGACTTACGCCACTTTACAAAAATTAACTCAAAATAGACTAAGACTTGAAACTATGAAACTCCTAGCAGTAAACACAGGAATCAATTCTTTGACATAGGTCTTGGGAATGAATTTTTGAATATGACATGTAAAGCTCAAAAAATAAAATTAAAAAAAGAACAAATAGGACTGTACCAAACTAAAAAGCTTTGACACAGCAAAAGAAACTATCAATAAAGCGAAAAGACTACCCATAAAATGGGGAAAATATTTGCAAACTCCTCATGTGGTGAAGGAATTAATATCTAAAATACATTTTAAAAAATCATATAATGCAATAGGAAAAAATACAAATAATCCAATTAAAAATAGGCAAAGGATCTGAATAGACATTTCTCTAAAGAAAATATACAGAAGGCCAACAGGTATGAGGAAAGATGTTCAGTATCATCAATCATTACGGAAATGCAAATTAAAACCACAATGTGATATTACCTCATGCCTGTTAGAACGGCTGTTATCAAAAAGATGAGATAATAAACGCTGGTGTGAATGTGGGGAAAAGACTTCCTCCTTCCCGCTTTTTTCTTTTTATTCTATGTGAGAAGATGGATGTTAATGAACCTACTTTAGTAATAATTTCACAGTATTTGTAAACCAAAGGCTTCCCAGGTAGTGCTAGTGGTAAAGAACTCACTTGCCAATGCAGGAGACATAAGAGACATGGGTTCGATCCTTGGGTTGGGAAGATACCCTGGAGGAGCAGGAGATGGCAATCCACCCAGCATTCTTGTGTGGAGAATCCCATGGACAGAGGAGCCTGGAAGGCTAGTCCATAGAGTCCCATAGAGTCAGACACGACTGTGGCTACTTAGCACACAACTGGCATATATAACCAAACTATCCGGCTGTATGCCTTAGACTTATAGAGTGATATACATCAATTATTTCTCAATAAAACTGCAAATGGATAAATATGGCAAAACACACAAAACAAACAAAAATAGAAGACAATACACAGACACCACATTGCTTTTGTTTTGTCACAGTGAAACAACATCATGAGTTCTACTTTGATTCTCCATGGAGTCTTAAACTTTTGCTCATGATGACTTCTTTTTAACTACTGGCAACATAATGTACTGCTGTTGTGTATTACAGCAATCTATTCCTGAATTTTTTAACCATAATTTCAGAATTTGATGAGTGTATTTTAAGTAACCTGACAGTTAAATAAAATAATTATGACTTTTTATTATTGCATATACTGCACAGAGGTACACAAATGTGTCAGTGAGAGACAACAATTTATTTATAATGAGTGCTAAATGATCAAAAGAATGTAGAGAAGTAGGTTGCGAAAGACAGACTATTTAGTCAAGAATCTATTTTAATAGAAATACACTAACCTATAACCTATAGTCCTGAATATTCATTGGAAGGACTGATGCTGAAGCTGAAACTCCAATACTTTGGTCACCTGATGCGAAGAACGGACTCCCTGGAAAAGACCCTGATACTGGGAAAGATCAAAGGCAGGAGGAGAAGGGGACGACTGAGGATGAGATGGTTGGAAGGCATCACCACCTCAATGGACATGAGTTTGAGCACGCTCTGGGAGTTGGTGATGGGCAGGGAAGCCTGGCTTGCTGCAGTCCATGGGGTCACAAAGAGCTGGTCATGAATGACTGAACTGATAACCTAATTAGAAAATATTATAAATGAAGTCTGATAATTTTTAAATATTAGTTGAGCCAGTTTAATCCTGCATTTACTTATACCATTAGTTTCTCCCCAACATTCAAGGAGTAGTGACATTCCCATAAGCACCACTCTTCAGTTTATTAAAATTACTGACTTTCAGAAGTCACATAGGCTCTCCTAAATCCATAGCAGACAGAAATCATTCTGAAAGCCAAGAATTTCCATGGCAATAAGAGGCTTCTGCATTATATAAATCAGCAAAGTACTAAGCACATGAAAGATAAGCCATAAGTGGTGGATTAGGGAAGTAGTTTTCCCAGAAAGAGAACTTAGTACTGGCAAGAGAACTGGAAGAAAGGAAAGGTGCTAAGCCTAACAGGCTGCTTGTCTGGGTACAATTTCACAGTAACATTTGGACCCAAGAGAGATTCACAAAGCTTCACATGTACCAAAAGGTTATGGGACAGCATCTGTTTGTTTGTTTTTGCTTCTTCCAATTCCTGAAAACAATATGGAACTATCTAAGGGAAAGCCACTGTCCTAGAGAGTACTGGAAGTCAGGACAGGAAGAATGCTGAGAACTGACACGTGAAAGGACAAAAAGTAAGAAAGATGTGATCACAGGTTATGTTCAGTACAGTCTGACAGGCCGCCTAAGTTTCACCACTCACCAGGGAGCAGGAGACGGGACTGGTGGCCCAGAAGACGTGGCATCACAGAGCCATGGGAACAAGTGACCCTGTGTACCAACCCCCAGACTGCCCTTCAGAAAGAAACATGCACAGGGAAGGCGAAGACTCCAGAATCGACTGGGCCTTTTCTGGTAACACCGGGCTTTAAACTGGAAGTAACTGAATACTTTCATTTGGGAAAAATCCATTTTCTCCTGCTGAATAGGAATAGAGACTTAAAAGCTATAATTTTATACACCTCAGTATATGACTCAAAAATCCCTGAATAATAGGCAAATTTGGACAAAAGGATCAGAAAAATTACAAAGGATTTAAGATTTAAAACATGCTATTTTTAGTCAGCTTGAAATTTGATCCCAAACTGGATCTTCAGTTGTTGTCACACAACTGGTAAGACCAAAGACCCACGGGGGTCGGTGTCACGGCTCTTGCAGACCTTATAGAAATCTCCATATGAGGGCTATGAGTGAGTGTACGCGCTCAGCCACGTCCGACTCTTTGCAAGCCCAAGACTCTAGCCCGCCATGCTTCTCTGTCCGTGGGATTTCTCCACTCAAGAATACTGCAGTGGGCTGCCATTTCCCTCTCCAAGAGATCTTCCTGACCCAGGGACTGAACGCACACTTCTTGCGTCTCCTACATTGGCAGGTGGATTCTTTACCATGCACCATCTCGGAAGTCCCAAAGAGGTACTATTATAAAATGAACACATTAAAGGCTTTTGATAATATCAGTATCATCACAATGTATGTAATAGATTCACCGACTATATGATTAACTCAGCTACTAGGAACATATCGTTTATGAAGTTTTTCAAACAATTCATGTTTGGAGGCTGATTAAAAGTGAACATTAATTTTGCTTACAGAATTAGCAAAGACTTAAATATGATAATAATTAGTGCTGGCAAGAGTGTGACAGGGCATTCCTATAAACTTCCAGATGAATGTTTAAACTGACCAACTTTTCTGAAAAGCTACCTCCCAGATTCAGAAGTAGTGCTTCTCAGCACTTTTGAGGGGGAACTTCATTGCCACTGTATTTCTTTGATGAGTTAATTGTGTATTTGCCCATTTTTTCCTAGGGTAGTCACTTTTTTAATCACTGATATGTAAGCCCTTGTATGACTGATTATTTAATTAGCTTTCCCTACTAGACTGACTTATTTAGTTTTGTTGACCTTATATCCAAAGTGCCTACTGTATTCCCTGGCATACAGTAGCCAGTGAATAAAAACTTGTTGAACAAATGAGCTGAAAAGCAGTTACTTAATAAAAAATTGTTGAAGAAGTTAAAAAAATGAATATTAATGAATAAACAACCCAGCAAATCAGAAGAAGGACTTTGAAAGCAGGTAAATTCTAAAGTAAGCATAAAATAAACTCTGATAATTTCCTTTTACTGTTTTTTCTTTCTCACATCCAATCTCTTACCCAGTTCTGTTAACTCTATCTTCTTCATGCCTTCTGACCCTTCAGCTCCATCGCTGATGTAACTGTTCTGGTTCAACTTTTCATCATCTCTCACACAAATTACTTTAAAAGTCCTAGCAATTGTTTCTAAGTTAGGCAGGCTAAGTGCTAAACTATTCTATATACTATAGATAGGAACTGCTTTAAAGTGCAAGATTATTAAATTATTAAGTAATTTACCTTCTTACCTAAAAATTACAGGATAGCTCCCACTTGACTTGAGAAGAAAAGTTCCTTCTGAAGCCAATTTACTCCAGTTTTAAAAGCAACTTTGCTCAAAGAAAAATGGCAAAAAAAAAAAAAAAGATTAAAAAAAAGCCACAACTATGAAGGTTCTAGAAGAATGATGGAAGATTGAGGAATGCCATCCAAAAGGATGAGCTTTGACAAGCAGAGAGAAGGGAAAAGCATATCCCATATCTATGATGAAGGATAATGAAACAGAGGGGGGTGTATTTCATATTCTGAATTCTGAATCCATTTGTTCAGAATAATTCCATTTGTTTAGAGCATGGGGAAGAGGCACATTGAAAAGCTAGAGAAAAGATAACAGGAATCAGGTAAGGGTCCTGTGCAAAGAAGGATATGTCAATAGTTTAGGTGAAAGCTTACTCTTATGTAGGAGACATAAAACTGACAGATATGACTGTATTTCTAACCTGTAACTCTAGTACAGCTATGGAGGATAGTTTGGAACAGAGTAAAACAATAAAGGGAGATTACTTAAGTGGATTTCACATGCTAGCAAGGTAATGCTCAAAATCCTTCAAGCTAGGTTTCAACAGTACGTGAACTGAGAACTTCCAGATATACAAACTGTATTTAGAAAAGGCAGAGGAACCAGAGATCAAATTGCCAACATCCATTTGATCACAGAAAAAGCAAGGGAATTCCAGAAAAAAACATCTGCTTCATTGACTATGCTAAATCCTTTGATTGTGGCGATCACAACAAACTGTGAATTACACAGAGACGGGAATACAAGACCACCTTACCTGCCTCCTGAGAAAGATCTATGCAGGTCAAGAAGCAATAGAACTGAACATGGAACAATGGACTGGTTCCGAATTGGGAAAGGAGTACGTCAAGGCTGTATATTGTTACCATGCCTATTTAACTTACATGCAGAGGACATTATGAGAAATGCAGGGCTGGATGAAGCACAAGCTGGAATCAAGATTGCTGGGAGAAATATCAACAACCTCAGATATGCAGATGATACCACTCTAATGGCAGAAAAGGAAGAGAAACTAAAAAGCCTCTTATTGAGGGTAAAAGAGGAGAGTGAAAAAGCTGGCTTAAAACTCAACATTCATAAAACTAAAACCATGGCTTCCAGTCCCATAACTTCATGGCAAATAGATGGGGAAACAATGGAAACAGTGACAGACTTTATTTTCATGGACTCTAAAAGCACTACGGACAGTGACTGCAGCCATGAAATTAGAAGACATTCGCTCCTTGGAAGAAAAGCTATGACAAACCTGGATAGCATATCAAAAGAGACATCACTTTGCTGACAAAGGTCCATTCAGTCAAAGCTATGGTTTTTCCAGTAGTCATGTACAGATGTAGAGTTGGACCATAAAGAAAGCTGAGCACCTAAGAACTGATGCTTTCAAACTGTGGGGCTGAAGAAGACTCTTGATAGTTCCTTGGACAGCAAAGAGATCAGAACAGTCAATCCTAAAAGAAATCAACCTTGAATATTCATTGGAAGGACTGATGCTGAAACTGAAACTCCAATACTCTGGGCACCTGATGCGAAGAACTGACTTCTTGGAAAAGACTGTGATGCTGGAAAGATTGAAGGCAAGACAAGAAGGAGGTGACAGAGGATGAGATGGTTGGATGACATCACCGACTCAACACACATGAGTTTGAGCCAACTCAGAGAGACAGCGAAGGACAAGAGAAGCCCGGCGTGTACAGTCAAATGGGTCACAGAGAGCTGGACATGACTTAGCAACTGAACAGTGAGTTAAGATGTAAGACTTTTCTTTCTCATAGTGAAATAAATACTTCACCACCCTGGTATTTTCTAGAAACTCTCCCTTAAAAGAGCAAGAGCAAAAACCAAAAACTCTAACTCCATGACTATAATACATGAACATGGAAAGCAGATGAAAGAGTGATACATGACTTAGCAAAGAGAAGTAAAGACACATCAAACCCACAGGATCTGCAGAGGGAGATACCAAAGCAATGCAAGGAAGTTTTCCCATAGAACCCTAGAACAGCTCAGAAAGTGTGGGCAACAGACCAAATGGAAGCTGGGAGGAACCAGAGACAAGAGCTATAGAATTCCTTGTCTCCCACTCATACCATCAAAAGCCTGGAAATACAGACCAAGGAAATTCCAGACTGAGAGTTACCAGTCAGGCAGGAGAGTGGAAGCATAAGAATGAAAATGAGAAATTAAATATTATGCATCATGCAGTTGAGACTCCAGCAACTGTCTTCCTCTATTGGCACTCTTTCTCTTTCAGAAATGCAGGAGTATATTTCCCCCATTTTCATTCCAGTCTCATTCCAGAACTGGAAAGTCTTTCTCTGACAACAGTAGTTATCTCTAAGACCAAAGACAGCAAAATTTAAGGTACCCAGTGAATCAAGCAGCTGGCCAGTGGGGGACCTATAATTAATCCCAGAAGACATTAAGAAATGTGTGGACATGTGAACATAGCTTTATAGTGTCCACATAGAGTTGAAGCTTATAATACATTTGATAAAATCCTCTAAAATAAAATACAGACACCAGATGGGCAGATAAAAGAGTCAGAATAAAATACTGTAAGAGGCAGGAGTAGACTAAAACTTCAAGGAAGTTATAATATTGGTGTCTACCACTTAGTAGCCACCCAAAAGAGTCTGGCTTTCAGTCTTTCAGGCCATCTGTATGCAATCCATATAGATAACATATACATGATACTTTCATTTTTATATTTTAATTAAAAAATTAATATTTCTTAATTGTTTAAAATATCTGATTTGTGGCTGCAAAGAAGAAAACGCCTTAATGATGACATGTACACTTCAGGTACATGTCACAAATATCACTAATAATACATTCCATGTGAAGGGATTACCAGTCTTAAATAAACATGATTAAAATTCATATTCATGCAAAAATACCACTTTCCATTACTACTGCACTTAGTGCTTCAAGTTCTTTGAGAGTTATTTCCTATATGAGACTACAATACAACTAGACCACCTACTGCATTTATTTTGAGCAAAAGCCAGATGGACCAAATTATCATCAATATTCTCAAATCTCACGCTTGCAATCCTATGGATCCCAGTGACATGTTTTTGGTATGAAGCTGTCAAATGCACCCCTTGACTTTTCTTAGTCAAGGGATGCATTTTATTGAATTTACTGAAACAAATTATATTGACATTTTCATTTACAGCTGCATTTATCTGTTTAACTTTATACCACAAATTATTAGCTTGGAATCTAATGACCTCTCCCTATAGACATACCTCCGAGATATTGTGGGTTCCATTCTAGAATACCTTAGTAAAGCAAGTGTCTCAACAAAGCAGGTCAGAGGAATTTTGTTATCCAGTGCATATAAAAGCTACGTTTACACTATGCTGTAGTTTATTAAGTGCAATAGCCATTAAGTTGAAAAAATTTACATACCTTAAATTAAAAATACTTTATTGCTAAAAATTCTATCATCTGAGCCTTCAGCAAGTCATAATCTTTTTCAACAGTAACATCAAAAAAAAATCACTGATCACAGATTATCATAACAAATATAGTAATAATGAAAAAGGCTGAAATATTGTGAGAAATACCAAAATGTGACACAGAAACATGAAGTGAAAAAATACTACTGGGAAAGCTTGATGCAGGGTTGTAACACACCTACAATTTATAAAAAAACCTATTATCGGTTAAGTGCAATAAAGTGAAACAACAAAATGAGATCTGCCTCATTGCTACTGGAAATAAGAAACTCTTAGATGAGCAGGAACAGACATAATGTAATGCAAAAGGAAAATCTGGTGATATTCTAGCCACCTGGCTCCTTTATCCAAATAATCATTTCCCACAATGCTGTGAAGGCTCCCTGGCATCCGTTTGCAGTCATGAGTCACTGATCCATTTCAGCACGGCAAATGGACTGACAGCTTCAGCTTTCAAGTCCTATTTTCTCCTCCACTTAAGATTTTAAGTGTGACCATCATCCTGGGCAGTTTCCTCATGAGTGGGTAATCCATTAAACACTGCTAGAAATAAAATATATAAATAAGAAGCATCTACCCAGTACAGAACTATATAAAAAAGATCTTCATGACCTAGATAACCAAGATGGTGTGATCACTCACCTAGAGACAGACATCCTGGAATGAGAAGAGACAGACATCCTGGAATGAGAAGTCAACTGGGCCTTAGGAAGTATCACTATGAACAAAGCTAGTGGAGGTGATGGAATTCCAGTTGAGCTTTTTCAAATCCTAAAAGATGATGCTGTGAAAGTGCTGCACTCAATACACCAACAAATTTGGAAAACTCAGCAGAGGCTACCAGATGGGAAAATGTCAGTTTTCATTCCAATCCCAAAGAAAGGCAATGCCAACGAATGCTCAAACTACTGTGCAATTGCACTCATCTCACACACTAGCAAAATAATGCTCAAAATTCTTCAAGCCAGGCTTCAACAGTATGTGAACTATGAACCTCCAGATGTCCAAGCTGGAATTAGAAAAGGCAGAGGAACCAGAGATCAAATTGCCAACATCCTCTGGATCATTGAAAATGCAAGAGAGTTCCAGAAAAACATCTCCTTCTGCATTATTGACAACACCAAAGCCTTAGACCATGTATCACAACAAACTGTGGAAAATTCTTCAAGAGATGGGAATACCAGACCATCTGACCTGCCTCTTGAGAAACCTGTATACAGGTCAGGAAGCAACAGTTAGAACTGGACATGGAACAGACTGGGTCCAAATAGGAAAAGGAGTATGTCAAGGCTGTATATTGTCATCCTGCTTATTTAGCTTATATGCAGAGTACATCATGAGAAATGCCGGGCTGGAGGAAGTACAAGCTGGAATCAAGATTGCCAGGAGAAATATCAATAATCTCAGATATGCAGGTGACACCACCCTTATGGCAGAAAGTGAAGAGGAACTAAAATGCCTCTTGATGAAAGTGAAAGAGGAGAGTGAAAAAGTTGGCTTAAGACTCAACATTCAGAAAACTAAGATCATGGCATCCGGTCCCATGACTTCATGGCAAATAGATGGGGTAACAATGGAAAGAGTGAGAGACTTTACTTTTGGGGCTTCAAAATCACTGCAGATGGTGACTGCAGCCATGAAATTAAAAGACACTTGCTCCTTGGAAGAAAACCTATGACCAACCTAGATAGCATATTAAAAAGCAGAGACATTACTTTCCTGACAAAGATCCATCTAGTCAAAGCTATGGTTTTTTTCTAGTAATCATGTATGGATGTGAGAGTTGGACTATTAAGAAGGCTGAGCACCAAAGAATTGATGCTTTTGAACTATGGTGTTGGAGAAGATTCTTGAGAGTGCCTTGGACAGCAAGGAGATCCAACCAGTCAATCCAAAAGGAAATCAGTCCTGAATATTCACTGGAAGGACTAATGCTGAAGCTGAAACGTCAATACTTTGGCCACCTGATGTGAAGAACTGACTCATGGGAAAGGACCCTGATGCTGGAAAGATGGAAGGCGGGAGGAGAAGGGGACGACAGAGGATGAGATGGTTGGATGGCATCACTGACTCACTGGACATGAGGTTGAGTAAGCTCTGGGAGTTGGTGATGGACAGGGAGGCCTGGCGTGCTTCAGTCAGTGGGGTCGCAAAGAGTTGGATATGACTGAGAGACTGAACTGAACCGAACTGATCCTGTTTTAAATTCATAGTGCTTTTCTTTTTAATGATCTTTTCTTCCATAGAGAATATGACATCTTGTAAGTTTTTTTTTAAAAAGGAGTTGGATAGT